CCCACCAGGAGAGCTGTAATAGAAAAGATGGACAATAACAAGTGTTGGCAAGGACGTGGAGAAATTGGATCTCTCTCACACTGCCGGTGGGAGTGTACAGTGTGGCAGCTGCAGAAAACAGTTTGGCAGTTCCTCCATCAGTTAAACATAGAATTACGATATCACTCAGCAATTCCACTCTGAGGCATTTACCCCAAATAATGGAAAACAGATGTCCAAACAAAGACTTATACATAAATGTTCATAGCAGCACTATTCACGGTAGCCAAAAGGTGGAAACCACCCGTATGCCCATCACTGAGGAGTGAATAAATAAAATGTGGCACTTACAACAACTGAATATTGTCCGACAATAAAGAGAAATGAAGGCCATGGTGTGTCACTCAGTTGGCTGGAGTGTCGTCCCATGCACCAAAGAAGGTTTGATTCCTGGTCAGGGCACCTACCTGTTGTTGTTGTTGTTGTTTTATAATATATTTTATTGATTTTTTACAGAAAGAAAGAGAGAGAGATAGATTTAGAAACATCGATGAGAGAGAGACATCAATCAGCTGCCTCTTGCACACCCCCCACTGGGGATGTGCCCGCAACCAAGGTACATGCCTTTGACCGGAATCGAACCCAGGACCCTTCAATCCGCAGGCCGACGCTCTATCCACTGAGCCAAACTGGTTTCGGCCTACCTGGGTTTTGGATTGGATCCCCAGTTGATGCTCACACCAAAGGCAACCAGTCATTGTCTGTCTGTCTGTCTGTCTGTCTGTCTCTCTCTCTCTCTCTCTCTGTAAAGTACATCCTCAGGTGAGGATTGGGATTAAGCAAAAGAAAATAAGTGAAGTACTTACACCTGTTACAATAAGGATGAACTGGGAAACATTGTGCTAAGAGAAACCAATCACAAAAGGCCAAATTGTGATTCCATTTATCTGAGATGTCCAGAATATGGAAATTTACAGTCAGAAACTAGATTAGTGGTTGCTTTGCCAGGGGGGTGGGCACAATGGGAGTGACTGCTAATAGGTATGGGGTTTCTTTTAGGAAGGATAGATTGTAGTGATTACTGTTCACCTCTAGGAATATACTAAAAAACTTTGAATTGTGCCCTAGCTGGTTTGGCTCAGTGGATAGAGCGTCAGCCTGTGGACTGAAGGGTCCCAGGTTTGATTCCGGTCAAGGGCACATGCCCAAGTTGCAGGCTCCACCCCCAGTGTGGGGTGTGCAGGAAGCAGCCAATCAATGATTCTTTCTCATCATTGATGTTTCTATCTCTCTCTTCCTCTCCCTTCCTTTCTGAAATCAATAAAAAAATATTTTTTTAAACTAAGTTGTACATTTTAAATGAGTGACGTGTATAGAAAGTAAATTATATCTCCATAAACCTGAAGGCTGCATGTCCCAGGAAACCCCTCAATCATTTGGGCAAACTAGGAAGGTTGATCTGCCTCACCCACATAAAATTATTTTCCCAAAGAAGGAGCAAAGGGGATGTGGAAAAATGCAGGATCCCGAGTGTCAATCAGCTTTTTGCTGTGGCAATGCTGCGTAACAAAGAACCCTGAAACACAGTCATTTATAAAAACAAATAAAAGCAAACATTGATTTCTTGCTCAAAGTTCTGTGGGTCAACTGTGCTTCTCCTGGCCAGCGGGGCCAGCTGGACTTGTGTGTGTCTCACTCTAGAGTCTAGACCACGGCTGAAGCAGCAGCATTCCCTGGGGCATTCTCTCCTCACCGAGATGCACAAGCAGGAGCCAAGCAACACCACACAAATACGCAAAAGCCTCAAGAAGACATAGCTTATTTCATAGCTGCTCACACTCCACTGGCCAACAAGTCACATGGCCAAGCCCGAAGTCAATGGCGTGGGAAAACATTCACTGCCTAATGAGAGGAACTGGAAAGTCTCAAGGTTACGGGGCTGGGCAAGAAATCTGATCAGAGGAGGCAGTGGAAAACAGCCATTCCGACCTACGATGGCTCAGCTTTCCGGTGGTGTGAACATGCAGCATTCAGTAGAAACCTTAATTTGAAAATTTTTTTTAAAATATATTTTATTGATTTTTTACAGAGAGAAAGAGAGAGGGAGAGAGAGCTAGAAACATCGATGAGAGAGAAACATCAACCAGCTGTTTCCTGCACACCTCCTACTGGGAATATGCCCGCAACCAAGGTACATGCCCTTGACTGGAATCAAACCTGGGACCCTTCAGTCCGCAGGCTGACGCTCTATCCACTGAGCCAAACTGGTTTCGGCCTTACTTTGGATTTCGGTCTTTCCCTGGGCTGGAGATATTCAGCACGATACTCCCGTGATGCTGGACAGCGGCCCTGGGTCACGGCTTCCGGACAAAACCACCCACTCCCTACAGTGCACGGGGTCGCCAGTGGTTGGGGACACGATGTTTTGTGTTCTCCCATCCCAGGATGTCTACAAACGACCATCGGTGGCTCCAGCTTCCGAGGAGAAGGCATTGGCTCTTGACATAACACTCAAGACACCTGCCCACCAGTGGGCTAATGTGTGTGAGCACGTAGAAGGTGGTCTAGGCCAGTGTTTCCCAACCTTCTCTCATGATGAGAATCACCTGGTGGAGTTGTTAAAACACAGATTCCTGAATCCCAACTAAGAAGTGCTAAACTAGAATTTTTGAGAACATATAGGTAAAATTGCATACCTAACTTAGTGCTCTGTATATAAAATCTGTCTTAGAGCACTAGTTAAGTATACAATTTTACCTATATGTTCCCAAAAATTCTAGTTTAGCACTTCTTAGTTGGGATCTGGGAATCTGTGGTTTAACAACTCCACCAGGTGATTCTCATCATGAGAGAAGGTTGGGAAACACTGGTCTAGGCTAGGCTCTGACGTTTGATAGGCGAGATGGATTAAATGCATTTCCAACGTATTGCCGGGACCGGTTTGGCTCAATGGATAGAGCGTCGGCTTGGGGACTGAAAGGACCAGGGTTCGATTCCAGTCAAGGGCATGTACCTTGGTTGCGGGCATATCCCCAGTAGGGGGTGTGCAAGAGGCAGCTGATCGATGACTCTCTCATCGATGTTTCTTACTCTCTATCTCTCTCCGTTCCTCTCTGTACAAAATCAATAAAATATATTAAAAATAAATAAATAAATAAATAAATAAATGCATTTCCAACGTATGCAGGGTTTGTCGGAAAGTAACGCGACTGTAAGTCAAGGAGCATCCAGTTAGAAATAAGCCCACCTACCATAGCAGCTGGGCCACATACTGGCCACACCTGCTCTAGGAGACATGTGCCTAATGTCTGCTGCATTAAGACCTTGTTTTTGCCGAAACCGGTTTGGCTCAGTGGATAGAGCATCAGCTTGCGGACTGAAGGCGTTCAATTCCGGTCAAAGGCATGTACCTTGGTTGCTGGCACATCCCCAGTAGGGGGTGTGCAAGAGGCAGCTGATCGATGACTCTCTCTCATCGATGTTTCTCTCTATCCCTCTCCCTTCCTCTCTGTAAAAAAATCAATAAAATATTGTATATTTAAAAAAAAAAAAAAAAAAAAAGATCTTGTTTTCTGCCCTGATCGGTTTGGCTCAGTGGCTAGAGTGTCGGCCTGTGGACTGAAAGGTCCCAGCTTTGATTCCGGTCAAGGGCATGTACCTTGGTTGCGGGCACATGCCCAGTAGGGAGTGAGTGTGCAGGAGGCAGCTGATCCATGCTTCTCTCTCATTGATGTTTCTCTCTCTCTCCTTTCCTCTCTGTAAAAAAATCAATAAAATACATATTTTTTAAAAAGACCTTGTTTTCCTTCATAGAAATTACTATATTTACTTTTTAAAAATATTTTTATTGATTTCAGCATCAGACATTTTCTCCACCAAAGTCTCAGGGAGGGTTCCATGGCACAGGGAGGTGCTCGCTAAGTCACAGGGGAGACGCTCAGCCGGGCAGTAACGCCGTCATGCCATGGCCGCCATGGCCGCGGGGCTCTGGTTTTGGGGCCCTTAAGGATTTCTGTGACCTTGGGGAGTCCCTAGACTCATGTTCTAAAAGGTGGAAATCCTACATAGGAAGCACTGATCTCAGTTTGTTTTTTTTAATATACATTTTATTGACTTTTTACAGAGAGGAAGGGTGAGTGATAGAGAGCTGGAAACATAGACCAACTGCCTCCTGCACACCCTCCACTGGGGATGTGCCCACAACCCAGGTACATGCCCTTGACCAGAATTGAACCTGGGACCCTTCAGTCCACAGGCTGATGCTCTATCCACTGATCCAAACCGGTTTCGGCTGTCTCAGTTTCTTGAGATCTTGCTTCCAGGTGTATCTTCTGGCTCAAATAGATTCTTACAAAAATTCAAAAAATAATTAAAATAACTGGAAATCCTGCCGAAGCCGGTTTGGCTGGGTGGTAGAGCGTCGGTCTGCGGACTGAGGGGTCCCGGGTTCGATTCCGGTCAAGGGCATGTACATTGGCAGCTGGTCGATGTTTCTCTCTCATCGACGTTTCTAGCTCTCTCTCTCTCTCTCTCCCTTCCTCTCTGTAAAAAAAATCAATAAAATATATTTTTTTAAAATAAAATAACTGGAAATCCTAAACATGAGAGATGGTCGCAGCTGCCCACACCCTACTTGGCTCTTCCTCGTGGGGTGCCCTGGTCCAGAAGGTTCCACCGCGTTTTTTCGGAGAAAGTAGTACGTATCTGGGGAAACAGAGAAGGTGCCCAAGGTCAGCAAGAGCTGGCAGGCCGGGAAGTCATTCCGTCTCCATCCTCCCCACGCCGGGGCCCCTCCACCCGCCCCACTCCTTCCCGCCCGGCTTCTTCCCCCGGAGGCCGGTGCCCCTCGTGCCCGCGGAACGCGTCCGGCGGCGGCGCCACCCCGGAGCGCGGCATCTCCGCGGACGGGCCGGGGGCCCCGGGGCTGCGGCGCCCGACCCTTCCCGCGGCGCCGGGTCTAACGGGCCGCGTGCGCGGGGCGGCGCCGCGCCTGATTGGCCGCGCCGGGCGGGGGGCGGGCGCGCGCCGGGCGGCCGGCGGGCGCCGACAATGAGGCTCCATAAAAGGGAGCGGCGGGGGGCCGGGGCCCCGGATTGAGCCCTCCCCGCCGGGGTCCCTTCGCTCCTGGTCGCGGGGAGGCCCGGGCGCGGCCGGCGCGGGCCCGGCGGCGGCGGGGAGGGGCGGCGGGCCGTCCTGCGGAGCCCGGCCGCGCCATGGCGCTCAAGGCCGAGGGCGCCGCGCTGGACTGCTTCGAGGTGACGCTCAAATGCGAGGAGGCGGAGGACGAGGACGAGGCCGTGGTGGTGGCCGTGATCCCGCGGCCCGAGCCGATGCTGCGAGGTGAGGGGGGAGGCACTCACTTCCGCCGCCGCCCCGGGGCCCCCCGCGCACCCCGGCCCCTGGGCCCCACTGGGGTCCGGGCCCGGCGCCCTGCCCCTCCGCCCGGCCCGCGCCGCCCCGCCCCCTCCCGGGCTCGGAACCCCTGGCCTCCGGCCCCCACCCCCCGCCGCCCGGGGTCTGGAGCCTGCGATCCCCGCGCGCCCGCCGCGCTCTGCGGCTTCCGGTGCCCGAGCGCCCCCTCCCCGAGCCCAGCGGCCATCGGCCCCCGGAGCCGCCTGCTGCCCGCGGCCCGGTCTGCCCCCGCGGAGCGGACTCAGGCCCGGGGCCGGCTGTGCGATGGGCCCAGGGCGGCAGGCGAGGGTCCGGGCCGGGGCGCGGCCCCCGGGGGTCCCGAGCGGTTCGGAGGATGGAGGCGGGCGCCGCCGCCCCGGCCCGGAGGACCGTACGGGCCCTGGAGCGCCCCGGCGCCCCCCTCCACTCCTAGGCCCTCCGCCGCAGGGAGCCACAGGTGTCCCGCTCCACAGCTCCGGGGGTGGGGGGGTGCTTGCGGCACCGTGTTTCGGACCCGTCCTTGCCTGGGAGTGGAGGGGGGGGGCGCCCTCAGCCTCCCCGGGAGGAGATTGGCCGAGGGAGGGGGACTCTGGAAGGTCTGGGGACCCCCCCCCCCCCCTTTCCGCAAAGTCTCCAGGCCTCCGGACGGGAGACAAAGGGCCCTCTTAATGGGAGAAGCACTGGTCATGGAAATGCAAATGGCCTGACCCGGACCCCTCTTTTTGGAGGGAAGTGCCCTGGGGAGGCTGAGGGGAAAGCCATTGGCTTTGCCTCCGGGATGGGATGAGGGATGGGATGATGGAATGGCTGCCTCTTCTGGGGATCTGGAGGGTTCCAGGATGAGTGGGGGATAAAGGTACCATCCTCAGAGCTTTTGGTCCAACAGAGATGGTCTCCCTGCTTCTCCTGGTACTCAGGGTGCTCCGTGCCAGGCGGTTAGGGGTGAGGAACTAGGAGCCCAGAGAAGCTGATCATGGGACACCTACGATGTGCCAGGCACTGTTAGGCTGGACATGCTAAGGGCCATAAACTGCCTTTCTGGAGCATACGCACGCACATCCTAAGGACCGAACCCAGACAGACATGAGTAAGTCAGGTGGTTCCGAGAACACTAGAGCAGAGCGAGGGGGAAAGAGGGGGGTCGGGGTTTTATTGCAATGTGGAGTGGTCCGTCCTCTAGGGAGGTGAGATTGGAGCCCGGGCCCAAAGGGGTGAACCCCACAGAGACGCAGGGGAAGCCTTTCAGGCCGAGGGACTCGCAAGTGCACAGGACCTGAGGCAAGAAGCTTCTTGGAGAGGTTCGCGGTGGGAGGGGGAGGGTGAACTCCAGGTTTGGGGCCTGAGCGAGGAGAAGGATGCGCCTCCCGCTAACTGAGGTGGGAAGCTTTTGCAGGCTTGGGAGGGTGGGAGTTGGGGTTGGCACATGGGAGGGGTGAGGTCAGGTGGGAAGTTAGACACGCGAGACTAGATTTCATGGGAGATCTGGCTGGGGGTATAAACACGGAAAGTGCCAGCAGGCGGGCAGTGGGACGAGAGCGTGAGAGGAAGCGGGTAGACGGATCCAGGTGGGAGCTGGAGTCGGTCCCTCATCAGACGGTTCTGAGCGCCGCTCTCTGCGGGCACAGTGATGCTGTCGATAACAGGCGTGAAGGGTCGGCAGTCCATGGGTCCTGGAGCCTGCAGTGTGCACCAGGAACACCCCGTGCCCGGTGCGATGTGTGCCCGGTGCGATGTGTGCTGTGGGGAAGGAAATGGAGGGGCAGAGGAGTGCCAGGTGGCTTGGCGGCAGCTTTCTGACTGGCAGGGCGGGCCACGGTGGGAATGTGTTTCTCTGGCGACCTGGCAGAGGGGAGGGAGCCGTGCAGGTCCCTGGAAAGAGATGGTGAGGACGGACATGAAATGAGGAACGGGCGTAGGTGACTGAGGAAGAGGAGCCACGGGAAGGTGGTACCTGGGAGCTGAGGGACAGGTCCAGTGGTGGGAGTGATCAGTCGGATGAGGTCTAAGAGCTGCCTGCTGGTTCAGCACGGGGACCTTGGGAGCTGCTTTGGACGAGCAGTAGGAAAGAAAGCCGGATTGCAAGGATTGCAACTCAGGGTCCAGGTTCCTACCGTGGTCAGATGGGAGTTGTGTACAACCCCACGTTGGACCTGGATCTTCTGAGATACAGCCCGTTCCCCTTCATTTCAAATGCCACCTCTCCCATGCCGCCCAGGTGCCCGGCCTCTTGGGTGGGAACGAGCTGTACCCATGAGGGTCTTGTGCACTCACTCCCACAGCCCTGAGCTGCCTGCCCTGGCACTAAAGTCCTTGTGCCTGGAGGGCAGGCGCCAGGCAGCCTGGGGGATGAGGTGACCCCTGCAGAGGCTCAGGAGCGTGAGCGGCCTTCTGAGGGGGCCTCCCAGGTGGAGGAGCAGGCACGTGGCTCATTCACTGACCGAAGGCTCCGTGAGCATCTCCTGTGTGCCTGCCCTGTGGATACGATGCTAAATTACCCTCTTTGACCTCAAGAAAGTGTGACCTGATGCCAGACGTGGATGTAATAACTGCCAGGGCTGGGAAGCCAGGAAGGCTCCAGGTGTGAGACTCTGAGCATGTCCACCAAGGGAGTGGAGGGATTTGCCAGACTGACGGGATTCTGGGTGGATGTGCGAGACTGAAGACCTATTAGTTTGTTTAAAAACAAACAGTTTATTTTTAAAAATATATTTTTATTGATTTTAGAGGGAGAGAGAGAGAGAAACATCAATGATGAGAGAGAATCCTTGATGGGCTGCCTCCTACATACCCCATACTGGGGATCGAGCCCGAAACCTAGGCATGCACTCTTGACCGGAATCGAACCTGGGACCCTTCAGTCTACAGGCGGATGCTCTATCCACTAAACACGTGATCGGCAAACTGCGGCTCACGAGCCACATGCGGCTCTTTGGCCCTTTAAGTGTGGTTCTTTCTCAAAATACCACGGCCTGGGCGAATCTATTTTGAAGAAGTGGCGTTAGAAGAAGTTAAGTTTAAAAATTTTGGCTCTCAGAAGAAATTTCAATCGTTGTCCTGTTGATATTTGGCTCTGCGGACTCATGAGTTTGCCGACCACTGCACTAAGCCAAACGGGTAGGGCCAAACAGTGTATTCTTGTATTGTTGTTACCTAACTCTTGCCCTTCCCTGTGGTGTTCCTAGGAGACAGGCAGGGCTGTTGGTGAGAAGGGGAGGGACAGTGTGTCAGTACAGGAAGGCATTTCTGATGGTGCAGTAGCCGAAACAGTGGGGCCAGTTCTAAAGAGTGTTTTTAATTTTCAGTTCAGTGCTCATCTTGTCTGCTTTCTTCTTATCCTTGCAGTCAACTCTTTAGGACACGTAGCTTTAGGCCTGGTCCAAAGGTTATTTTGCCCTTTTAACATCCCAAAGATTTGAGGCATAAGATGTGCAAGGTAGTTCCTCTGGGGTGACAGCTCCAGCTCCATTTATTCTTTTATTTTTTATTTTTTTCCTCCTCTTTCTAGGATGAAAAATTTTTTATTGATTTTAGAGAGGGAGAGGGAGAGAGATAGAAACATCAATGATGAAGAGAGTCGTTGATTGGCTGCCTCCTGCACGGCCCCCGCTAGAGATTGAGCCCACAACCTGGGCATGTGCCCTGCCCGGAAATTGAACTGTGACCTCTGGTCCGTTGTGCTCAACCATGGAGCCACACCAGCCGGGCTGTTTATTTTTTCACAGAGGAGCATGCCACCCAGTGTGGGGACTTGTGTCCTGGCTAGTATTGGCCATGGGCACCTTGGCTGATCACACCACCCCTCCTCCTCCCGCAGTGGCTCAGCAGGAGAAGACCCCGCCGCCCAGGCCCTGCCTGCTGGACGCGGGCGGCGGTGGCTGTGAGGAGCCCAGGCTGCAGATGACGTGGGAGCAGGAGTTCCTGGTGGGGAGCAGCCCGGAAGGCAGCGGGCGGGCGCTGTGCATGGTGTGCGGGGCCGAGATCCCGTTCCCCTCGGCGGACACGGCGCGCGCGCACATCCTGGACCAGCACCCGCACACCCTGGACCTGAGCCCTTCGGAGAAGAGCAACATCCTGGAGGCCTGGAGCGAGGGGGTGGCCCTTTTGCAAGACGTCAGCGCTGAGCAGCCATCCCCACCCGACTCAGGTAGCTGGGCCGGGGTGGGGGCGGGAGAAAAGCAGGCCCGTGGGGACACGCGTGTGGCGCTCACGGGCATGTGCCCCCTTCAGACTCGGCCCAGGATGTCCGTGCAGACCCGGACCCTGCCCCGGACCCTGCCCGAGTGCCAGCAGAGATTGTCGTTCTCCTCGACTCGGAGGACAGCACCGTCCTCCCCAGAAGGACCCGGCCCCGGGGACTCCGCCCGCTTGAGCTTCCAGGTCAGCCACGGGGAGCCAGTGAGGCTGGGGGTGTGGGGAGGCACAGGGTGTGTTCTGGCGGTGGAGAGGCAGTGGGCACAGAGCTTCAGCAGCGGGGTTCAGGCATATTCCCTTTTTTGCAGTCGCCCCTGCCACAGAGCCAGTAAGTAAGAAGTCTCGGAGTCAGAGGTGGAAGGAGCCCCCTGAGGAAGAGCCAGCCAGAAAGAAGAGAAGCAGATCCGTGACCAAAAACCCAGACCCGGACCCGGACCCGGACTCGGACTCAGGTGAAGGGGAGCCCATCGGGGCATTGGGGGCTCTGGCTGGGGCGCTGCAGTCCGAGCCAGTGAGGGCGGCCGGGCCGTCCCAGGGCTCCCGCACCTCGCTGCGGGGGCTCAGGCCTCGGTTCTGGCCTCGTGGGGGAGGCTGCCCGCCCTCCCGGACTCAGTGCCCCTCTCTCCCCTGCAGACCCCTTGTCGCCTGACTCGCCCACAGAGGCTTTCACGGCGCCCCCCGAGGTCCGGCACTTCACCGACGGCAGCTTCCCTCCCGGCTTCGTCCTGCAGCTCTTCTCCCACACCCAGCTGAGGGCCGCGGGCGGCACGGGCCCCGGGGCGGGGCCGGCGGCCGAAGGAGGCCTCCCCCCGCTGGAGAGCCCCTCTCCAGGTGAGCTCCGAGGGAGGCCAGGCCCCTGGAGGCGGCATTTGGGCCCTGGGCGATGGGGCCGGCCGGCGGGTCTGAAGGATGGGCTGGCTCTGGCTGAGCTCCCTGCCAGGCCCTTGGCGTGTCCTGGAAGCGGCCGGTAGGTTGGACGAGGCCAGTCCTCCCGGAAGTGGGCTGGAGCCTGACTGAGGTGCCATCTGGGCCCGTTGACAGACTAGACCAGGGACCGCGTGGCAGAACCTCTGGGCCGAGCAGCTCAGTGAGTTGCCATGACAGCAGGGAGCGCGTGTTGTAGCACAGCCTCCTGGTGGTGAGAAACTTCTGTAGGCAGTTCGCTGGGCCCTTACCAAAGTGCCTTCCCTGGGAGTCTCAGACGGTCCTTCTTCCCAGGCCTGTCCGTCCCTGTGGCCGCGGTAACAGCTGCCGCCCGCTCAGTGCTTCCAGCAGCACAGATGTTCCTTCTCCGTTCTGGAGGCCAGAGGCTCCTGGCGAGAAAGTCACCGCGTCTCCTCTGGAGGCTTGGGGAGCCTGCATCTTGCCTTTTCAGGGTTCTAGAGGCCGCCTGCTTCCCCTCCTCTTCCATCTTCAAGGCCTTTTCTCGGGATGCCATCTTTGGCCTGACTCTTCTGCCGCCTCCCTCCCCGCTTAAGGAGCTTCTGACCACACTGAGTCCGCCAGAGGGTCCCGCTGAATCTGTAGCTTAAAGTCAGCCGGCTGGCACCGTCCCTTCCGGCCATGCAGCCTGCCTTCTCCTTTGCCTGGAACTTACCATGTTCACACGTCCTGGGGGTGGGGACAGGGGCACCTTGGGGGCCGGTGTTCCGCCTGAACGCAGTCATGGCACCAGGCAGAGGCAGGCTCCCGTGAGAGCAGAGCACATCTCAGCAGCGCGGAGGCTGAGCCTGCTTCCTCCGCTCCGCCATGCCGGCCCTGCTCGCAGCACCTCTGGCTCGGGATGGTCCTCGCAGGAGCGAGTGACGCAGGGAGCGCCTGTCCCAGCCTGTCTGCTGTGCCTGTGGAGTTAGAGCCCAGGGGGATGGCTCTCGAGGAAAAGCAAGCGTGCCCCTCGCCGGCCGGCCACATCCCTCAGCGGTGACCGCTCGTAATAGTTGTATCCTCAGGCTCCCCCAGAGCTCTGCGTGTGCCGTGTGCGTGCTCCCTCCCCATCCCAGCAGGCGTCCCTTCACGTAGGTCTGGTTTTAACCGGCTCAGGTTTCAGCTTGAGTCACATTCCAGCCCTGCCTCCCGAGACTGCTTGGACTTGAACGTCTCTGAGTCTCCTGTTGTCTTGGGTCACGGCGCGCAGTGGCCGCCTCCTCTCTGCCCAGCGGTCTGCTCTCATTCTCAGAGGCCCGCTGTGCCCAGCTCCACCTCCCCGGAGGGGTGGGTAGCTGAGAAGGAGCCCCTGAGCCCTGGGTCCCTTCGCGGTGAGTGGGGAAAGACTGGAGGCTCAACAAACGGAGTGAGTGATGGGAGGGGGGAGGGGGGAGGGGCTGCAGGTGTCCCCGCAGTGGCAGGGTCGGTGGAGTTCGGACTCGGCTGGAAGCCACCGAAGACACTAAACGACCAACAGCAAGTGTCCCGCAGCCCAGCCCCCAGCGGAGCCGGTGGAAAACGGCACGTGCGAGGCAGCCCTTGTCCCGGCAGCTGCGGCCGGAGGGACAGGTGGAGGCAGTGAGGAGCACAGGGCCATGCTGGCCCGGGCAGAGCAGAGGCTCCCCCAGGACCTCCGAGCTGGGCTGGATTCTCGGAAACAGGCTTCAGCCGAACGTCTCTGCTCGGAGTTGTTTTAAATATATATATTTTACTGGTTTTTTACAGAGAGAAAGGGAAAGGGATAGAGAGTTAGAAACATCGATGAGAGAGACACATCAATCAAGCTGCCTATTGCACACCCCCCACTGGGGATGTGCCTGCAACCAAGGTACATGCCCTTGACCGAAATCGAACCTGGGACCTTTCAGTCTGCAGGCCGATGCTCAATCCACTGAGCCAAACCAGTTTCGCCTCAGAGTTGTTTTACGTATTAAAGTTCGCTGAAGATTTTATTTAATAAAGACACCACTTTCAAAAGTTTAAAGATCAGCCGAGACCGGTTTGGCTCAGTGGATAGAGCGTCGGCTTGGGGACTGAAGGGTCCCGGGTTCGATTCCGGTCAAGGGCATGTACCTTGGTTGCGGGCATATCCCCAGTAGGGGGTGTGCAAGAGGCAGCTGATCGATGATCTCTCTCATCGATGTTTCTAACTCTCTATCTCTCTCCCTTCCTCTCTGTACAAAATCAATAAAATATATTAAAAAAAAAAAAGTTTAAAGATCAAGGTTTTAGAAGTTGGGAAAGTTCTCTGGTCAGGCCAGAGCGTGAAGCAGTCAGGAGAGGCTTTCTGGGGCTTTCCGAGGGCCTTTAGGATGAAGGTGGGAGGGTGCCCAGGCCACAGAGGGCCCGGCTCCTGTTTTACCAAAGAGGACTGAGCTGGGGAGGTAAGGCACCTCGCTCAGGCCCCACACACGGGCTGTGCTGCCACTGAGCCCCCCCACAGGGCCCAGAGCCCACCCCCTGCCTCCCTCCCTCCCTCCCTCAGGCCACATCCACTGCGTTTGCTTCCCCCCTTCTCCCGTAACTACGCTCCTGCAAAGGCCGGTCCTTAGACTCATCACCGGGCCTATCTCTCCCCACTGGACATTTCTGTTGTCCATTAGATTTTGCCCAGCAGCCTACACAAAGCTCTTATCTCGCCCTTCTTACTCCTCCCCCAGCCACTGTCCCATTTGTCCGTACACTTCCATCTGCTTTGTGGAATGTCCGCTCCTTCAGGTCAGGGTGCTTGCCTGTCTCACTGTGTGCTATCTCTTCCCGGTGCCCAGCCCAATCGGTGCTGGTGAGTAAGTGCCCCAGCCGTGGGTCAGGGCGGAGACCCACTCCCTGGATCGCAGCTCTAAATGCCATTCTTGTGCTCACAGCTCCGGCCTTGACCCTCCAGGCCAGGCCTCTCCCCTCGTCCCGGCTCTCTGAATTGCCCAGGGACAAGCCCCTGGGGCTAAGCGTTCCCTCCAGCTCCCCATGCAGAGCGGAGCCCAGTCCCTCCCCCTCGCCCCGTCAATCTGGTCTTCTCAGGCTTTTCTCCCTGAGGAACTGGCCACCTCATTCTTCCGTTTGCTTCATCCTCTTGTCTCAAAACCACATCAGACCATCGACAAATGTCAGCCCCTCCTCCTGTGAGCACCGCCACTGCGGCTCCTCTGTCCCAGCGTCGCTCGCCTGGTTCCTGGCGAGTCTCTGGCTTCTTGCCTTTGCCCACTGGGGCCTGGCCTCGGAGCAGCCAGTGTCCCTGTCGAACACCAAGTCTTGTCCCGGTGACGTGCTCCTCACCCAGGACCTTCCTGTTCCTGCAGCGGCACCTGCACTGAGTTCCTCCCGCCGGAGCTGCTCCCCAGTTCTCCGCTGAGCTGGCCCCTCACTTCCTGTCCATCTCTGCTCACAGTCAGCATCCCGAGACGCTCCCATCCCCTTCCCTGGCATACGTTTTTTCCTTTGCATCTGTGCATAGATCCTACTGCACCTCTTATTTATTCTCACTGATTGGTTCTCATCACTGCAACACAAATTCCAAGAAGCCACTTGCTCTGCTCCCTGCAATGCTGTTCCCCTGGCAACGGGAACCCCGGGGCAGAGCGTGGTGGCCTAACAAGTTATTGTTGATCAAGAGAGAATGAGCGGGATTCAGCCTGTCCTCAAGGAGCTTCTAGTTTATCAGGAGACGGACCAGCTTCTGAGTACAAAACAGAATGTGCTCAATTGGGCTTCCGGCCCCCCGGGCACTGAGCTCTGGAAACGGGGGGTGTGCGGAGACCGTCAGGAACATCCTCATGGTGGGGTGTCTGGAGGCCCTGACCCTGCTCTCTGCTCCCATCCCTGCCCAGGTCCCCCTTCCGGCCTTCGCGGGACGCTGGATCTCCAGGTCATCCGCGTGGAAGGAGGAGTCCCCGGCAGTCAGCTGCCTACAGGATTGGTCCAAGCATCCCCAGGGCACCAGGGCTGTGGGAGTAGATGACACCCTGGTCAGCACGAGGCTTTGTTGGATCAGCACCACAGGGGGTGGCGGGAAGCAGGGGGTGGTATAGGTCCTGATTCCTGGGAGAGAGTGGAGGAGGCCATGTCTCTGCTTCTCAGAGCTTCAGCGCTGCGCCTGGTGAAGAGTACCAAGGCAGGGGAGGCGGGGAGGGGCAGCATCCGCTGTGGGGCGGGGGCACGGAGGAGTGCCCACAGCAAGTGGGGGCGTGATGAGGCTGTGTGGGTAGGGCACTGGGCCTGGGAGAACCACGCTCGATCCTTCTCTGACCCACACCTCTGTCCCACCTCCCGTCCCCTCAGCCGCTCACCATTCTCCCTTGGCACAGTGCCTTACACCAGAAAGAGGAGGGCACCACGGGGTTTGAGCTGAGTCCCACTACCTCAGAGGACGCCTCTCCATCCCCTGTTCAAGTCACTCATCCAGGAGGCCTCCATTACCTCTTCCCGCTCCATCCCTGCAGGAGGCCAAGCAGTGACCTGGTCTTCATTCACTCCCACTCCTGTTTTCTGGTGGTACATACATCTCCTGTTGGCAATAAATTATTTTTTTTTATTAAGAGAGTTCCGTCTGGGCCATCATTGGGGGAGGGGCTTGCTAGGAGGATAGCTGGCCTCCTGGGTGACCTTGAGGGCAGGAGGGCTGAGAGGTTGTCCGGGCAGGACCCGGGCAGGGCTTTGCTGGTCCAGAGGCCTAGGTCTGCCATGGTGTCAGTCACAGAGAAGCCCCCCTCCCTCCCCTGTCCTGGACGTGAGCCCCCGTCTGAGAGAAGCCACCCCAGGGTCCTATCCTGACCTTTTCAAAGGGCAGTGCTGGTGGCCAGCCCGCAGCGGGAGAGATGCGTCCCCTCCCCTGCCCGCAATGGAGGGTGGGCCCGCGGGTCCTAAATGCAGCCCTGCCTTCAGCAGTCCAGCTCTGCTCAGCTGAACACTTTGGTTTGATTGAACCCGAGCCTTTGTCCTGTTTCCCGTTCCCCAGACCAGGAGTCCACCTCGGGTCTCCAGATTCCTTCCCCTCCGAAACCACCATCACAGGCAGTGATGTGAGGACTGGTTTTTCCCATTGAAAGGCCCAGAGCTTCCCCCGGATCCCACACAGCACTGCCCCGTTTGGAGTTCAGGGGCGCGTGGGATAAAGGGGGAGCCCCCCTTCTGCTCCTGATACGTACTGAGTGTTCAGGGAGAGGGCGTGGCGAGGGCCCAGGGCAGCGTCCCCTTACGGCACCGACTCAGCCCGGTTTGAGACCATCCAGAAAGCCAGCCCCCACATCGGGGAGGACCTGATTTGGAAGGATCTGGGCCTGCGATCACAGTCGCTGAGCTGGTGACACTTGATCCAGACCGGATGTGAGGAATCTTACTGTGATCTCACTCATGGGACGTGTCCTTCCTCCCCATCTGACTCACCTGGAGCCCCAGGGCGTCTGGGGCCTTGTGCGGGGGAGATTGTGGAGAGAAGTCCGCAGGCAAAGATTCCTGACCCACTGTGTGTTCCCATCCCACAGTGTGGCGTCAGGCGGGCCATGGGGTCTCGGTGTCTGCCACCATTTGCGCAGGTTGGCAAAACTGGTGTCCTCCCTGACAGGAAGGAAGGAATGATGCTGGAAATCAGGCTCTGAAGCCGGGATGTGAATTATTGCAGTTGATTCCTCTTCATCCTTTCACTCATGTGACTGTTTACATTATGCCGACGTGCTTTTACACAACGTGGCTGTGTTGCTGGATGTTCGCAATCGAGAAAACGTAGATACGAGCTCATTGTAGAATCGTGGAGCTAAGTGCGCCTTCACCACTGTTGACGTGATTCGTGGTTTGACCCACTAGGCTGTGAGCCCCTTCGGGGCAGGGGCTAGTTTGCAGTGACTTTGTTTCCTTAGAGCCCTGCATAGGGCCTGGCACATAGTAGGTGCTCAATAAATGTTTGTCAAGTGCCCTCTTGGCTTGTATTTGTGACATTTTTTCAGTGTAAGCTGGTCCCTGGGGTACAGTTCTCCGCATGGGGCAGCTGCCACGGTGACGGCAGCCCCACATCCCAGCTGGCAGGGGTTCGGCCAGGACCGGAGGGACTGGGAGCTGCCTGCCCCTGGGCACCTCTGGGCTCCGGGGAGAAGGAGGAAGAGAGCACGGAGCCAAGGGCATGACCCCACCGGGATACAGAGGGAGGTTTCTGAATGTGGGGCTGATGGCTCAGGGTCCCCCACCGGGACTGGAGCCCCCCCTCCCGGAACACCAGGACAGCCTCGCAAACACCAGTGCCTCCCAGGGCTGGGTGACGGGAACCAACCACGGCTTGGGGGGAAGAGGGTGCCACTGCCCCGACTCCTGCCACCCACCCTCCCAGCCCCTAGTATTCTTTCGAGCTCCGGAGCTGGCCACCTGCTGCCCGGCCCCGTTGCCCTCCTGGATCGAGGAGATCTTTCTGGATGCCAGCCATGGCCTGTGGGCAAAGCCGGTCTGAGACGAGGGAAGAAGCAGCCCTCCCCGCCTTGAAGAAAAACCAGTGTGTGAGGGTACAGTTAGGGAGGGGCCGGCTGGGCCTGGGCAGCACCCCCTTTGGGTCACCGGTCTGGCCCATCCCTGAGCTACTATGTAGCTCAAAGGAGATGGCATTCTGGGCCCTTCGTAAATTGCAAAGCCCTGCACACCCCTGAGGGGGGTAGAGGCTGGGGCTGGGAAAGGGGGGCGTCTCTGGTGGGGTTCCAGACCCTCTGTCTCCCCCACCGGGTCTGTTGGGAAGGGAATGCCCAGCTGACCTGCCCAGGGGGCACAGGCAGGGAGGGGCAGCTGCCTGCAGCTGTGGTGACAGGAGGGCAGTTCCACTGCAGCCAGTGCGTCTTGTTTGCCCCTCCTGGGAGCCAGGTGCCTCGCCCAGGCCCTTCCCTGGAGGAATTCGCACAGAATATCCCTCCCACGGATACACCCGCCTCTGGGGGAGGGGGAAGAGCAGGCCTTTTGGGCTCCCCAACACCGTGTCCAAGCCCCAGGATCCTCAGGCCCCACGTCGCCCAAGAAGCAGGAGCAGCGAGGGGACGGGGGCGACCACCCGTGGGCTCAGGTTCCACAAACACGAATGAGGATCCGGTGAGCAGCCTGGTCACCCACGCGGTGCCCGTTGTATGGCTGAGGAAGCTGAGGCTGCCGATGGCCCAGGGGACTTGTCTGAGGTGCGGAGCCTGGTCGGCCCCAGAGCTGCTGTCTCCCACACTGTGCGGCCTGTGTCGGCTTTAGGAAGGCCGCCATCTTCCCCCGAGAGCCCAGGCGGCAGACAGGAAGGTCACTCACAGTGACAAACCTCAGCAGCAGCACCCGTCCCCTCGCACTGATGGTGGTGTCCAGTGTCCTCGTCACCCCAATTTGCAGAGTCCCCCAGGTCCTGGCTCTGCTGCGATCGTGCCCTGTGCCCGGCAGTGCCAACCAGAGAGGCTCACTGCAGATGTGGGAGTGTGCCGTGCCAGCACGGCCAGGGGTGAGCCTGAGCGGGGGCGGGGGAGGAGGGAGAAAAGACAGCCGAGAGGAGGAAGCTGGGTCTGGGTGGGACGCTGTCCTCTCTGAAGGAGAGCTAGCGGCAGCGCCACGGACTACCAGCCGCGTCTTTATTTTACAGCCGATGCCGCGAGGCAAAGGAAGGGGTGGCCAAGATGTTTACAACGTTCTCCTGGGTTTCAGTCCCACTCAATTACCTGCACCGGATCAAGCTTTGTTTACTTGCAGCCTATAGCACTCAGGCACGTGGGGCCACGTGTTTGGACCACAGGTTCAAGCTCACAACCGCAGCTGTTGGCTGTCATTGTGCCCGGGGCTCTGCCCTCCAGGCTGGGACTTGCACGTGGCCACGAGAGGACTGTGCCCTCTCCTTAGTCCGAGGCTTGAACCTGTGCAAACGCTGTGGCCGCGCCCCACATGGAAGCGTGCTCCTCTCGCCTGTCCTGCTGACAGAGCCTGGGAACCAAGCTGAGGGCTTTGAGGGTGGAGGCAGGCCTGCTGCTCACCTGCCCCTTTTCTCCAGAAGTTGGTTCCTGGGCCCCTGGGAGGGCCCTGCCTGCTGACCCTGGCCTCACCCCGGGGCCTGTGACCCCGGCTCAGACTGGGCTTGGTATTTGGAGGCTACAAAAGCAGTGGCTGGTGCAGTGATGTCCACCTGAGCTTGGGCCTCTAAGGGGCAGAGCATGGGGGAAGGCGGGGGGGCGTGCTTCTCCTAGCCAGACCCTATTTCCCCTCACTTCCTTTCCCTGACATGAGGCAAGTCCTCTTGCCCACCATGGCACCCACTCTTCGTGGGGAGCAGTTTGCCTCAGAGACTCGCCCTGGCTCTCTGAGGTCAGAACTGGGGGAGACAGCTGTGTGCAGCCCGGGGCTCCGGCGCGAGAGGCCACGCAGATCCCCGCCCACAGCTGCCCACAGCGCTGCTCCAGGTGCTGCGGATACGGCCGTGCACATACAGCCCCGAACAAGAGAGGCCCTACAAGGGAAAACTCGTGGGACTGTCAGCTGATTTCTCAACAGAAACCATGCAGGCCAGAAGGGAGTGGCAAGAAATATTCAAAGCGATGAACAGCGAGAACCTACAACCAAGATTACTCTACCCGGCAACGCTCTCATTTAGAATTGAAGGTCAGATAAAGAGCTTCACAGACAAGAAAAAGCTAAAGGAATACATCACCGCTAAACCAGTATTACATGAAACGTTGAAGGGTATTCTTTAAAAAGAGAAAGAAAAAGGAGGAGGAAGAGGGGTAAAAAATATGTACAATAAAATGGCAACAAATACAAATACATATCTATCACCAGTCAAATCTAAAAAAATAATAATAAAAATTAGCCGAAACCGGTTTGGCTCAGTGGTAGAGGCCCCTCCCCCCCAAGCACCCCGTTTTGCTCTCCTCGGGGCCGGAGACCTGGGAGCTGCAGGGCTGCGGGGTCATCTTGGCAGACTGGCGCATCGGTGCCTCCCTGCCCTCCTCCTCCAGGAAGCCAGGTGGAGCCCTGGACACCAGTTGGCACCAACTCCCCTCTGCCAGCTCCGAGCCGGAGGCTGCTGCCGGCTTCTCTGACGTCCTCCCCAGATGGGAGCCCCTGAGGCTGGTTCTTTCTTGCTCTGGGCCCTCCCACTCCTGCCAGTCCTTCCCGGCGGCCCTTTGCATGTCCTTGGCATCAGACTCAGGGTCACCTCCTCTGAGCGGCTTTCTCCTCTTTCTTACCTTCAAACCAAAAACATCGTTTTCCTCTGGAAAGAGCACTTACTTGAAACGTACAAACAAAAAACCTCATTTTTTTTCACGAGTTACAGTAAAGCCAGCACGCGCTGAAACGGGAAACCCAGCTTCCGAGAGTACACGGGATGGTCGTTGACTTTGGGGATCCCTCTGCGCCCCATGAGAAGCTGCCCCTTCTGCTTTCTCCTGTGCTTCTCACGGGGCTCAGCCAAAACCAGCCTGGCCCCACCCGGGAGAGTTGGCAGCGGAGGCTGCACAGCCCGTGCGTGACCGGGCGGGGGTGTGGCTTGGCCCGAAGGCACCTCCTCCCAGGGAGCCGGCTGTGAAGGTGCCCTCCCCGGGGCTGGGG